ATCATTATCCTATGAGTTAAGGTGTTTGATGTATGTTGTCAACCTATCAGGGATTGCTAGTGCTACTTAAGATCATCTTAGATTTGATGAGTGATAAGATTCAAAAGGGCTACGAGGAAGAATACTTAAAAGAGTCTAATAAGATCAGTATACCAATTTAGTACTAGCAGCCTAACAATTTTCTACTCATGATCCACGTTAGGAATATAATTATCCCCTCTTCTTTGGAGGATTCATATGTAATTAACTTGATATCTTGCTTGAATCTCATGCACTGAACAGTTTCCCAAGAAGCTGGACACAACACAAATTCACAAAACATGTACGGTTATGAATATGTCAATCGAGGATTTGCTAAATCTTGCTTAAGTTGAACAAAATCAACTTCTTGATGTAAGAAAGTATTGCATCATATTAAATGCTTCCATAATACATAAATATATCTTATTTGGTTGCTGATTTTATGATGCAACAAACTTAATATGCTGGAAATATTATCTTTACCGCAAGGAATTTAAGGAATTAATTAGTTAATGCTACTTTTCAACTCATCATGTTATGTTACATATGCACAATCCATGTTGTCCAGTTGTAGTTCAGGTAGCGCTAGTTATATATCTTGAAAAATGCATGCCTGCCTATACCCAGTTAAGAACTACCACAATTAATTTAAATAAGATAGCTTCATAAGGCAGTTAAATCCCATCATTAAAGTCAATTAAAAACCTAATTACACTAATGACCTGTTGATCCGAGTGAAAGCAACTTGATTCCCTTTAAGTAAAGTCTCGTATTCGAGTTTTATGAATGGTGAAATAGATGTTGGGAGAGCTTCTCCCCTAATGGGGTCTAATGCAACTTGATTTGAGACTCAATGTAATTATTAGATACCAAAAAATTAATACAACAAAAAACCTAATTATTGCTCTTGACATATACCTTTCAAAGTTTCACGATATAATGGTTTGACTTTCAATAAGCATAATTTTTTTTAGTGAAAAGTAGAAATTATGATGTTTTAATATTTAAAATGTTAAAATTACTTGTGAAATTATTTAAATATTTTTAATGAATCTATCTTCTTCTTTTTTTTTGTTTTTGAAAAGCCAAAGGAAATAATTTTATTAAAAGAGTACAAGGGGTACTCAACCCATAAACATAGAAAAAGGATTTGTTAGTGAACTAGCACCAACAAATTAGAAATTTTTACATCGTTTTGTTATAAAGCAGTTGCTTGGTTTTTGGCACCAGTCAAGAAAGGAATAAGGCCAGCCTTCTGTGTTTCCACTTATCCAAAGATAGGATTGGTTTTGTATCATTTTGAGCACACAATCTGTAGTCATGTTGCCTTCACCAAAAATTGCAGTATTCCTTGCTAACCAAAGTGACCAGATAATTGCATACTAGACAATATGCCATCCCTTTTTGTTTTTTGCTGCCCATGTGTGTTGGGTGAACACCGCCTTGCAATTGTTGTGCAGAACATACTGGATACCCCACCATTCAAAACACTGGGTCCAAATTTTATAGGAGAAATCACACTGCAACATTAAATGATTTGCGTCTTCAATTATATTCCCACAAAACACGCACCTTGCATCTAGAGCATCCTTGATGACGTTCCTCTTTAGCAGGTTAGCTTTGCTTGGTATACGGTCTTGTATCAGCAGCCACACAAAAGTGCAAACTTTTTTTGGCACTATTGGGTTCCAACACTGATTTAGAGTCTTTGAACCTTCTTCGACTTCACTGGATGTTAGCAACCTGTAAGCAGATCTAACAGAATAATGACCATCTTTTTCATGTATCCAGCACCATTTATCCTCCATTATCTTCTTTGGATTGTTTGAGTTTAATATGTGCTGTAGGTCATCCACCTGGCTTTCCTCCCATGTATGTAATTGCCTCCTCCATCTTGGATTCTAGCTCCAAGAATTCCCAATCCAATATCCCATTTGGTGAACTGAGCTGCATTTATCAATAGACAAAGAAAAAAGTTTGGGGAACAAGTCCTTCAAACTATTATCTCTAGCCCACTTATCATGCCAAAAGGATATATTTCTTCCTTCACCTAATTTAATTTTGAAACTAGCTTTTAGCCAGTCCATTTTCTCAAATAACACTTGATTTATACTACCAATGTCTCTCCACCACCGTGACCCTCCCTTACTGCCTTCCCTCATCCAGCTGCTCCAATTGTGTCCCTCCCTATTGTATTTTGCACTCAGGATATTTTTCCATAACCCAGACTCTCATCTGTAAATCTACTCCACCATTTCCCTAGTAGAGCTAAATTAAATCTCCGAAGGTCCTTAATACCTAACCCCCCATCCTTTTTGTTTTTGCAAATTTTCTCCCACCCAACCCAGGCTATTTTTTTTTGGTAGCTCACAACCACCCCATAGAAAAACCCGCCTAATTGAGTCAATCCTCTTAATCACACCCATAGGAATCAAGTAAGCAGACATTAGGAACACGGGAAGACTAGAAAGCACAGAATTAATTCATTATGGGGCATGTTGATTTATTAAGGGTACATAAATCTTTTTATTATCATTCTTGGCATTTTAATGTCAAAACGGATTTTCCACAATATATCCCAAATTTTTAATATAATTTTGCAACTATTTGTTTTTTTTTTTTTTTTTT